CTCCAGAAAGTTCCCCAGAAGGTCCCTGGAAGTTCTTCAGAAGTTTCCCGGGAGGTTCCCAGAAAATCCCCAGAAGGTCATCACAAGGTTTCCAGAATGTTCCCAGGAGATCCCCCAGAATGGTCGTTAGAAGGTGCCCAGAAAGCCTCCAGGAGGTCCCCAGAACAACTCCGGGTCTCCAGAAGATTCCCAGAGTTCTCCAGAAGGTCCCCAGAACAACTCCGTGTCTCCAGAAGATTCCCAGAGTTCTCCAGAAGGTCCCCAGAAGATCTCCATGTCTCCAGAAGATTCCCAGAGTTCTCCAGAAGGTCCCCAACCCCTCTGGATGATCCTCCCCGTGACTCCTTCCCGAACTCCCCACCCCCCTTTCCACTTTCCCCCCCTTCCTCCCCCACCAACCCCTCCCCAGTCCAGCGGTCCCGGCGGGGGGTGTCCACCCTCTCCAAGGGTTTTCCAAGCCCATCCCACCGGTTGGTACCTTCTTGGCCCCGGTCAGAGCCGCCTTCTGGAGCTTGTTGTAGCAGTACTTGGCGTAAGTGCTGATGGCCACCCCTGCAAGAGAACATCAGGGGTGGTGGGACGTCACCTCCAGGCCCTGGAGGGGCTCCTGTCCCCTCCTTGTCCCCCACCTCCCCACCCTTGGATGTCCATCTCCAGCCCCATTCCCGGGGGGTTTGAGGAGGACAAAGTCCCCCTTGGATCCTTCTGGTGGCCACACCCCCCTCCCGAGAACCTCCAACGCGGGGTTCCGGAGCCCCCCCGGCTCCGTGGGGGCCCCCACCCAGGGATGTCCTGGGTTTTGAGGGGGGGTCACCACTTCCGTTGCCCCCCCCCCCCCCCCCCGTACCACCCCCATCTCCTGCTGATCCCACCAACTCCACCCTCATCCCCCTCCTCATCCATCCCTTCCTCCTGATGGCCTCCAACAAGGAGAGGAGACCTCGACCCCTTCCCAGAAGGAGACCTGGGGACCTGGTGGCACCTTCGGGACCTTTCCATAGTCCTGGGACCTGGTGGAACCTTCTGGACCATTCCATAGCCCTGGGGACCTGGTAGAACCTTCTGGACCATTCCATAGCCCTGGGGACCTGGTGGAACCTTCTGGACAATTCCCACAGCCCTGGGGACCTGGTGGAACCTTCTGGACCATTCCATAGCCCTGGGGACCTGGTGGAACCTTCTGGACCATTCCCACAGCTCTCAGGACCTACTGGAACCTTCTGGACCATTCCATAACCCTGGGGACCTGGTGGAACCTTCTAGATCTTTCCTGCAGCCCTGGGGACCTGGTGGAACCTTCTAGATCTTTCCTGCAGCCCTGGGGACCTGGTGGAACCTTCTGGATCTTTCCCACATCCCTGGAGACCTGGTGGAACATTCTAGACCTTTCCCACAGCCCTGGGGACCTCATGGAACGTTCTGGACCATTCCCACAGCTCTCAGGGCCTGGTGGAACCTTCTGGACCATTCCACAACCCTGGGGACCTGGTGACACCTTCTGGACCATTCCATAGTCCTGGGACCTGGTGGAATCTTCTGGATCTTTCCCACATCCCTGGAGACCTGGTGGAACCTTCTGGACCTTTCCCACAGCCCTGGGGACCTCACGGAACCTTCTGGACCTTTCCCACAGCCCTGGGGACCTGGTGGCACCTTCTGGACCTTTCCCACAGCCCTGGGGACCTCATGGACTGTTCTGGACCATTCCCACAGCTCTCAGGGCCTGGTGGAACCTTCTGGACCATTCCACACCCCTGGGGACCTGGTGGAACCTTCTGGACCATTCCACAGTCCTGGGGACCTCATGGAACCTTCTGGACCATTCCATAGTCCTGGGACCTGGTGGAACCTTCTGAACCATTCCCACAGCTCTGGGGACCTGGTAGAACCTTCTGGACCATTCCATAGTCCTGGGGACCTGGTGGAACCTTCTAGATCTTTCCCACACCCCTGGGGACCTCACAGAACTTTCTGGGCCATTCCCACAGCCCTGGGGACCTCATGGAACCTTCTGGACCTTTCCCACAGCTCTGGGGACCTCATGGAACCTTCTGGACCATTCCATAGTCCTGGGGACCTGGTGGAACCTTCTAGATCTTTCCTACAGGCCTGGGGACCTCACGGAACCTTCTGGACCTTTCCCACACCCCTGGGGACCTCACAGAACCTTCTGGACCTTTCCCAGAGCCCTAGGGACCTGGTGGAACCTTCTGGACCTTTCCAAAGCCCTGGGGACCTCATGGAACCTTCTGGACCATTCCATAGTCCTGGGGACCTCACGGAACCTTCTGAACCATTCCCACAGCTCTCAGGACCTGGTGGAACCTTCTGGACCATTCCCACAGCCCTGGGGACCTCACGGAACCTTCTGGACCATTCCCACAGCTCTCAGGACCTGGCCCATCCCAGAAGAAGCTCTGGAGACCTGGTGGCACCTCCTGGAGAAGTCCTGCTGGATGTCCGACCCCCTCGAGGGTCATTTTTTTGGGGGTCAAAACCAAACCTGGGGCCTCGGGATCGTCTCCTCGGCCCTTCGTCCCCGGGATCCGCGAGTTTCCCGGACGGTTTTTGGGCTCTGGGGGATGTTCGTGGATTGGGTGGGAGGGTTTGATGGGAAGGACTTGGGGGACCTCACAAAACCTCGGGATCAGGGAATGGTTTGGGTTGGAGAGGAGCACGGAGCCCATCCCCGTGGGCGGGGACACCTTCCAGCAGATCCAGGCTGGAGCTTCGGAAGAAGCCCGGGAGACGATGGATCAACACCCAACA